GAAAAACTGTTGGTAGATGGGCATTTTAAAATTTCTTGGTCAGGACTGTAAATTTCCATTGTATTTGGATAACTGGCATTTCATTCATTTCATCTGGAATAAATTAATTTATAAGCAATGACACAACCAAATTGTTTTAAGTTAATAACTTGTCTAGATATACTGCATTCCTGATGTGTCAAACTCAAAAGCATTCTTATTCTGCTAGCTCTACCTTGTAGATTAGTTAGGGTGATGAGCAATTCTTTTATTATGTAATATACAGGTTTGAAATAAAAGATGTATATTTCAGATCCCTGTAATTGATCGAGGTTTGGTTCCTTTCCAAAAAAACTTCCAAAAATAATGATATGGATTATGTCAGGAAACAATCTTAATCAGGAATCAGGTGATGTGTGAATGAAACAGTGGGGTAGATATTTCACAATCAACTTTTTATGTTCATGGTGACAGATTTCATGTTGGGGCATAGAATAAATTTCTGATTTAGAATACTTAGTGTTCAGGTTTGTTAATATCATGTCTAATGTTAAAGGGAGAAGCACTTGATTCATTCCAGAGGAGTGCACCTACTACCTCTGACAATTTCTCCACCCATTCCATTCATCATTGTAGACCTCAGGAAGAAGCTACCAATATGACAGCAGTTTCCTGTTGTGACCCTTTCTTGAATTAACTATGTTATGTTGCCCAAGGTTCAATGCATAGAATCCTTAAAATTAGTAAAATAGTTTCCTCTTATCAGTCTGCACTAGATTCAACACACTTAGACTGTGTTTTAAACCAGTGAAAATTTACATCTCACTTGTTTCTTTACATTGAGTTGAGAAACAAAAAAAATCACATCCTTGTTAATTTCAACTTTTAGATTTTTCAGAGTCCGAAGTGGAAAATATGCTTCAAGATTCTATGACTTTATATCAGTCAAGACTTTAAAAAAGCTGCAAATTTCAACTCCTCAACCTCTCACCTATGCAGTAATTGCTTCCTACTTGGGATTGTTTCAATTGCTCACTTTCTAACCTTTTTGTTTACTTGGTCAGAGGTGGGTGAGCATAATGATTAGAATGTTAAGATTTTGGGTGTATGCCATTTGAAAATGTTTAGTTGAGTCACGTTCCAATCTACATGAGTTAGAGCCATCGAATAGTAGTGTGCTACATGATATTTATTTCTGTTTGAGATATAAAAGAAGTGCTAATGCTTTTAAACTAATTAGTATTTTTCTGTGTAATTTAATTCATGTATGTTAGTTTGAAATATGTTTAGTGACACACTGCATTTTATTGTGAAATTGGAAAATTTTAGTTACAGTTCCCAATATAGTGAATTACAGAGCTTTGCCATGATGTTAGGATTGATGCAAACAATGTGCTAAATGTGAAAGGGGTAAATACAGGGAGAGAACAGTGGTTTATAGTGGGATAGATTAACATATTCAGAGATAGCATGAACTGCAGATGCTGGATCAGAAAAACACAGTATGGAGCTGGAGGAGGAACACAGCAGACCAGGCAGCATCAGAGGAGCAGGAAAGTTGATATTTTGGGTTGGGACCCTTCAGAAATGGAGGGGGGGGTGGGGGGGAAGGAAGAGAGAAAGTTGGGGGAGGGGGAGAGAAAGTAGGGGGGAGAGAAAGGGAGCTGGGAAATAAATAGAGGAGGGGTGGGGCTCTGGAAGGTAGGTTGGGTGGTGATAGGTGAGTGCAGCTAGGGAATGGAGGGGATTGGTCAGTGGGGTGGGTGAGGCAGATAGGTAGGAGACAAGTTGTGTCAGGTCATGGAGGCAGGGATGAGAGGAAGGGTTGGACATGGGATGAAGTTGGGGTGGGGAGACTTTAAAACTGGTGAATTCCATCTTTAGGCCATCAGGCTATAGGCTCCTGAGGCAGAATATGAGGTGTTGCTCCTCCAGTTTGCGGGTGGTGTCATTGTGACATTGGAGGAGGCCCAGAATGGACATGTCACTTGGAGCAGGAGGGGGGGGTTAAAATGGTTGATGACTGGAAGGTGTTGTCGTTTGTCACGTAAAGAGTGCAGATGCTCTACAAAGTGGTCTCGGAGTCTACATTTGGTGTCTCCAATGTAGGGGAGGCCACATTGGGAGCAGCGGATACAGTAGACCAAGTTGACAATATGCTGTTTCTTCACAACCTTACAGTCTACTCAGGAGCAGAATTTGAGGTATAGGAGTGGATTATCTCCTCACCCTCAGCCTATCTCTGGTGCATGGAGATGGAAAAAATGGAGCAAATATTAGAGCATATTTGTTAGTAAATTGCCTTACTTTTAGTGGTTTACTGGTGCTCACCAAAGCGTGGATACAAATGTAGGGGAACAGAAATTATTGCCATTGGAGATCCGCTGCTATCAGGAAGATGTCGAGCAGCTATTAAATAGGGCATTCTTTTAGGTCAAACCAAGGTGTGCTTTAGGTAATGCAGAAATGCCTCTATGTTGAATCTAAGTGCTGTTGCTGCTTTGCTCCTTTTATCTGAATGTCGCTAGTGATTGAGGTATGTTAGTAATGAACATTTGCCTTTTGGAAATAATCCAGGCTCATTTCAATTAACATCCTTACCACTGGTAGACCATCTCATTGGTCTGCACGTAATTCAAGGAAACATCCTGGAAGTGTATGGGGTAACCAGCATTATTATTGGTATATCCCTCTGCTGCCTTTGAGGAATGGTTCTGTATTTAAATTTTGTGAATAAATTTTAAATACATGTATTTAATTTTGACTGCTTTAGTTGGAAATGTTTATCAGTCCTCTGACCTAAACCATGATGTCTTCCTTTAGTTCTAATTTTCCCTTTTTAGTTTGCATAATTATAGGGGAATGTTTGTGGAATAGTTGATAACCTTAATGAAAGCAGAAAAAACACCACTTAGCTGTGATGTAGAACATGCTAAGGTCGGTGGGAGTGAGAGGCATTAACAAACGGCATCTTAGGTTGAATGGGATAACAAGGTGTGGAGCTGGAGGAACATAACAGGCCAGGCAGCATCAGAGGAACACGAAAGCTGATGTTTCGGGTCAGGACCCATCTTCAGAAATAGGTTGAATGGGTACTTGCTTGGCCAAGAGCAGTGTTGTGATAACTAGCGAGAAATAATTCTAAATAGCTGTTAAAATGTCTTCAGTATGGTACTTATTTGCCTGCTTCTACATTGAAAGTATACTTGGGAATTTAAATGATCGTTTCTTTTGCTATACTAAGTAACAGCAACATTGTATTCCATTCTATAAAATTAATTGAACCAAAAAAAACGAGCAACTGGTTTACCTGTAACATTTCTGGGTGTTGCACTGCTACTTTACATTTAGAATGATCATTCAGAGGAGTACAGATAAGAAAGGGTGGTAATACAGACAGGCAGAGTTGAAAGTTGAATGTTTGTGACTTGAAACTGGCCTGAAATTATTAAATAGATACTGAAATAGATTGTTAAATAAGGTGGTTGCACACATTTTTGATATAGTTTTCAACATCCTATAAGTGTTCAAATGTGAAAAGGATTGGGTGACTGTTGGGTAAGGGGAGAAGTTCTGAGGAAGGGTCACTCAACTCGACGTTAACTCTGATTTCACTCAGATGCTGCCAGACCTGCTGAGCTTTTCCAGTAATTTGTTTTTGTTTGAGAAGTTATTAGGGCTGCACATATGGCTAATCATTCATTTTGGTGTTTGAAAAGAAAACCATTGAGCGTTTGAGTGCTGGGGGTGTGGACAAAAGAATTGTTAGTTCAAACAGCAGGGTGAGAGGGCTCATAACGTGGACAAGAAAAGTATAATTTTGAATGAAAGATGAAAGCATTGAAGTGCTACAATATGTGGCACAGGTATGGTGATAATTAATATTGAAATGTCAGTATAGGGTCTGTTGATATCTTTCCTTTCAAAGAGTACAAGTGCTGATTTAATATATAGCTATTAACTGAATGTTTTGCAGTTTTACAAACACTCGATTATTGTTTCCATGTGATGCATATTTCTACTTTAATAAGCTGTTCGCACATTTCTGTTGAATGCGTTTCTGTGACACAGCATTCCCAGAAATGTTGATATGTAGAATTTGAAAGTTTAATTTTTTGCTTTGATTTCAATTTCATTATGTTTTCAGTTCTTCAATTAGTAGCATTGTGAACTAGGTATCACTTTAGTTAGTTGGAAGATGAGTTTGTGAATAAATACGTTATCAAGATATGTAGTATTTTTAATGATACGTTGATCTTAGGAAACTGCTTCAGATTCCACGTCACCTGGAGCTGAGTTTAATTTCAAGACAGCCTTATGATGTCTTCATCAGCGGCCATTCTGTGTATGTGAACTTGGCCGGAACACGTCGATTTGTTAATGTTTTGGCTATAGGATCAAACTGGCGGCTATCCTGGTCAAAAACAAAGTTACTGGAAAAGTTCAGCAGGTCTGGCAGCATCTGTGAAAGAAAAAACAGTTAACGTTTCGAGTCCAGTGACCCTTCCTCAGAACTCCTGGTGTCCTGGTCCGTCGTCCTCAACACATCAAATATAGAGTGGGCCACCTGACCTCTCAAGCCTGCTGTACCATTCATAGCTTGGTGCCATTTTTCTACGCTGTCCCTTGACAGCTGTCATATCCAGAAATCTTTTGATTCCTTGCTTGGATATACGGAAATGACCAAACCTTCTGGGAACGCGTTCCTCAGAGTTACCATTCTTTAGGTGAAAAATTCATCCTTTGTCTCTAACTTTATAGGACTTATCTCCTATTCTGAGACCATCTTCAGAATCTTCAAGGGAAACATCCTTCCTGCATCTATTCTGTTCAGTCCTGTAAGCACCACATATATTGTATTATCACCAAAGTGGCTGAAATGGTGGATTGTTCAGATTTATTGTTAACGTCCCTTTGAGAGTAAACTTCAAATTTTATTATCACCATGCTGCATTAACAGTTTTAAGAATTTTAGCATGCTGAGTAAATTTTGTGTAAACTTTCTCTTTTTTGTTCTTTAGTCTATGAGAAGACAGCGCAATGAGGTGGTTGTAGAACTAAGAAAGGTAAGGGTTTCTGTTGAAGCGGTACAGCTATGGAAAAGAAGTATAGATTCACTTTCTAAGCATTCATCTCTGCTGCTTAAGAGGTGAAGATAAAAGAAATTATACAAACAAAATGTCACTTGAAATCTTTTACATTACAGTACACAAGGTGCTTTGTAGAGTATTAGTTTGTTTTGTATATGTTGGAGGAAATTAAATTATATGCGTGTGAAAAGATTGGATGATCACAGCAAATAATGTACGAAAGATTTCTGGATTACTTTGGCATTTAATGTTGCAGTGCCAAAAGTGTTATTTCTTAACTGAACGCCAATATTTCTGTTCATAATTAGAACAAAAGGGATGAACATTTATTAAAACGAAGAAACGTACCTCAAGAGGATACTTGTGAAGACTCTGACCTTGATGGAGACATCAGAGTGGTAAATAACTTTACAGTTGTGTAAATAAATACCCTATAGAACTTGGGGCTCAGATTTTGATGTGGACTTTAACTGATGAATACTGCAGGGGAAACTAGCCTCTACTTTGTAATGCTATCAGTTTTGATTGCGTAATTAGATAAAATGATCAGTCATTGGTGAACGCACTAAAATGCAAGCATTGGTTGTGAAAGTACCAAGTCAAAATATTTTCTTTCCAATCTTTTGGCGTGAGAAAGCATGAATCATATTACTGGTAGTGATGATGTCACAGGCCTCGTAATCCAGAATCCTAGGCTGATATACTGTGTACATCAGTTCAAATTTCACAATGGTAGATAGGGAATTTTGAATTCAATTAAAAATCTGGAATAAAAAGCTAGTCTAATGGCAAACACGTAACCACGATCAATTTTCAGTAAAAACCCATCCAGTTCACTAATAACCTTTTAGATAAGGAAATCTGCAGTCCTTAACTGGTCTGGTCTAGTCTACAAGTGCCTCCAGACCCACAGCAATGCCTTTGACTCTAAACTCCCCCCTGGCAATTAGGGATGGGCAATAAATGCTTAGCCTGTGGTGCCCACATCCTAAAAAGAAATAATAAAGAGATTATTCTTTATACACAGTTTTCACTGTTTAAAATGTTGTGTGTGCTATTCATGTCTCTGTAGCAATCACAAAGATTAGGTTTCTTCAATGTCCAAAATATAATTCAGGAAGTTATGGTAGTGATATCTTAAATCTGACATTTCTCAGTATTTCTAATAATAGTTTTATTATATGGAATGATAATACAAGTGAAAACTAATCTTATAAAATTTCTGTTGTTAGAACCAATTGGTAATTTCCAGCAATCATGTGAAATTTAACTAATTATTTAAGTATATCAACAAAATAAATGAAGTTAAGGCAGCTTTGTTCCTTGGTGTTGGTGGGTGGGGGTGTGTCTCAAAATTCTGTTAAGCTAGAGTTAGTACTTCATATTTGTGACTTGGGGGCATTTATCCAATAGTACTATTTCTTTTTATGAAGGACTTTAAAACAATTTTGTGAGATTTTCTTTATTGCAGTTTCAGCACACAAATTTTACATTGTCAGCCACTTAGCTTTGTCTAGTTTGCCATCTAAAGCGATGCTTTATTTCTGACATGGCTTAATGGTTATTTATTTCTTTGCATGCAAAAATTTATATAAAATCTATATTCTTGTACATTTTCCCTTGGGTTTAAACATGCAGTACAGTAGTCAATTTGTAAAATCTTTTGTTAAGAAGATGTCTGAATTTAACTCTTAAATTTTACAATGTGTTTCAAAACTAATATTTTGTTTTTGATCCCTTTCTGCAGCAAAATACATCATTAGAAGCCATAGTGCAGGTGACTAACTTTCATGCTCAAGTTGTACTTTTATTGACTGCAGTGTAAATTTGAATATTTACTAATTGTAATAATTTTATCAAACAGAATGCTTCCAGTGACAACCAGGGTCTTCAGCTTAGTGCAGTGCAGGCTGCTAGGTGAGATTGTCATGCTTTGAGCTTTCTGATTTTTGATATTTTTGAGATTCTAAGTAACTTACTTCCAGAAATAACATTCATTTCCTGTAGAAGCTTTAGCGGTTGCTGTTTGTTACAAAGAATATATACTTTTTTATTCATTGATGGCAAGCCAAATGTTTACTACCATCCTATATGCCCTTGAAGGTGATGATTAGCCCTTCCCTTGAATCACTGGAGTGATTTGATTCCCACTGTGCTTATAGGGAGGAAATTCCACAATTGTGAAAAATATGGAGCAAACTGTGATTAAAACATATGGGTTAGGAGGTAATGTACTGGCATGATTAATGATTTGCTGACCAATAGAAAACAGTAGGAAGGAATGGGTTATTCTCAAATTGGCAGACTGTGACTGGGTTACCACAAGGATCAGTACTTGGGTTCCAACTGTTTGTAACTTATTTTGATGATTTGAAGTTCGGGACCAAGTGTACTGTTTCCAAATTTAGTTGATACAAAGCTATGTTAGAATGTGTTGTAAGGATGACGTAAAGCAGCTTCAAGAGGATTTGGGCACAGTTATTGAAAAGATAAAAAATAGCAGATGTAATACAGTGTAGAAAAATGCTCCACTTTAGGAGGAATAGATGTGCAGAGTATTTCTTAAGTGAAATGTAGTTGTGCAAAGGGATCTAGGTGTCCTTGGTATGCCACTGAAGGCTAGCATACAGGTTCAGCAAGCTAATGGAAATGCTAATGTGGTGTTATCCTTTATTGCAAAAGGTTTCGAGTACACGAGTAATGAAGTCTTGCTTTAGTTGCATAGGAACTTAGTTTTAACACATCTGGAGCACTCTTGATCTCCTTGTCTCAAGAAAGATATTATGGCCATAAAAGCCATACAACAAAGGTTTACCAGACTTATTTCCGGGGTGGCAAGACTGTCCTATGAAGAGAGATTGGACAAACTTGACCTGTAATCTTTAGAGTGTTGAAGAATGAGAGGTGATCTCATTGAAACATAGAAAACACTGAAAGGGATAGACAGGGTAGATGCAGGTAAGATGTTCCCCTGGTGGGGAAGTCTAAAACCAGGGGGCACAATTTAAAAATAAAAGGGGGTGTCACTTAAGTCTGAAATGAGCAGAAAGTTTTTTTTAAACTTGGTTGTGAAGCTTTGGAAACCTGTACCACAGAGGGCTGTGGAAGTCAACTCTTTAGTGTGTTTATGGTAGAGATTGATACATTCCTGCTTATCAATGGCGCACAAGGTTATGCACATGGGTTGGGTAAAAGGCATTGAAGTGTTTAATCAACCACAATTGTATTGAATGGCAGGGCAGGTTCAGCAGGCTGAATGGCCTACTCCTCTTCCTGCATATTTCCAAGTCAACTTGGGTGGGATTTGGAGAAAAACTTGCAGGTGTAGTGTTCCCATGTGCTCACTGCCCTTGTTCTTTTGGGAGATGAAAGTTGAATGTTTAGCCGATGCTGTCATTAGAACCTTTTGAATTCGTGTCTATTGTAAGTGGTACAGATTGGAAGTCCAGTGCATCAGTGAATGTTTGAGGTACATTTCTGATCTGGAAAACAGAATGCAAATCCTTCTAATCTGTCAGGTAGCTCATCTGGCATACAGTATTGAATGTGGAGATTTCCTAATGCTAAATATTGGGAAAATCGAGGTTGCCCTCTTCAGTCATTGGTCATAACTTGTGTGTTCTTTAACCATTCTACGAGGCTGTATTTGCTTTGCCATTGTTGGCAACAGTGATGCCCACTTCATTCTGATCTGAGTTTCCAACCATATATTCTCCATCATGAAGACCAACTTATTCTAACTCCATAAAGTTGTCTGTCCCCATCTTGTCTCAGCTCATCTGTTGACATTCTTATCTGTCTCTTTGTTATTTGTGTTATGGTAGAGCTTGACAAGCCACCAGTAAACTCTGGTTCAGATTATCATTGTTTATCAAAATGCTCAGAGAACTGAGCTTAAACAGTCTTGAGATTTGAAAAGCCACAAGTTCTCATCTCTTATGTGTACCTTGGGTCATGTACTCAATTTTAATCTGGTCATTTTACAAACCATAGGTTTAACAGATATCCCAATGGTTAGTTTATTTTCCACAGTATATATACTATGCATTATTCATATCCACACAAGGATCCTTATCCAGCAGAATGGGCAATCTAGGCTGCATCTTTATTTCTATCACCACTGCTCGCCTGTTTCTTTGCCCTAGTCTCATTCCTTATTCTGCCTAGAATGCAGTCTAGACAATCTTGGTCTGCTTATATTTATTTTACTAAAAGTACTTCTAACTGAATTTATTTAACTCTTGCTTAACCCTCTCACCTGACTATTCTAATGCTGTATAGAATAATGTCCCACCTGGTTCCATAAACCTCCACTCATTCTGAATTCTGGCCATTTCCTAACTTTCAGTTCACTCAGTCCTGTGTTTTCTGGCAGTTATTGGCTCCAAGTCTGGCAGTGCTTTGATTTTATAATTCTCGTTTGTTTTCAAATCCATTCATGAGCTTGCCCCTCCCTTTCTCTCTCCTCCTGCAGCCCTACAACTTCAGATTGCTGCACTCAATCCATTTATAACCTCTTGAGTGCCCTGAATTTTCGAGCTGTGTCTTCAGCTGCCTGAGCCCAAGTCTCTGGGGCTCCCTCCCTACATCTGTCCATCCTGTAACGTCTGTCTCATATTTAAGATGCTGTTTGTAACCTAGCTCTTTAACCAGGCTTTTGAATACCTATCTAATATCAATTTTTAGCTCAGATGTTACATTAAACAAAATGTTGATGTGAAGCAGTGTGGAACGTTATAATATGTTAAAGGTAATGCATACTTGTAACTGATTTGAAACAAAAGCTTCTCAAGCCTTCAAGTAACCTTTTGTTGAATGTCTTTATTGCATTCAACAGGAAGCTGTTGTCAAGTGATCGCAATCCACCTATAGATGATTTAATAAACTCTGGCATTTTACCAATTCTCGTGCATTGTCTAGAACGAGATGACAAGTAAGTAGTGTGTACTAATTATTTTAAATAAAACTATCTCTCTTGGTCTCAAATTGTTCTGAAATTTTAAATCTGTGTAAAGAAGATACGCTATTAGCTTTTACTTTGTGATATTCAGTGATTAAATTGAAACTGCATTCCCAAAATGGCCTGTCCCTTTTGTAATTTGCATTATTCTATTTTATAGTCCTTCATTACAATTTGAAGCAGCATGGGCTTTAACAAATATCGCCTCTGGCACTTCAGAACAAACACAGGCTGTGGTTAAATCAAGTAAGTGCCTTTTTTCTCTTGGGTTCTAAGATTTTGCTCAGTTACACAAGTGATCCTTAAATATTCACCAAGAGCTTAGTTCAAGTTATAGTAGTGTTCCTGAAAATCTCAATTTTAAATTAAAAGACTGAATTATGCTTTCTGATTAAAACTAATGTAAAAGCTGTAATCAGGTTTTGGAGGAGCTTTCTCATAATTTTAAAACCAAACTTTATACTTTTTGTAAGGTTGAAATACTTTACATTGCTAAATTCCTATGTTGTAAATTAAATACCGTTCAGACTAAAATAACATGCTGGTCATTGCTTCCCTTTTTGGTGACCCCTCAACTTGAGGTCTCTCATAACCCTAACCCGTCCTGTTGCTGCTGATTTTCCAACTAGCAGCCTCACCCAATTCCTAATCCAACCTATTGCACCTGACCTTCCAACCTGAAACACCTCCTAATCCCAAACTTGCCTACTTGCTGAATAACCTGTTTCCTGACTCAGCCACTCACTGCCTCCTTCTCTTGAATCCTCACTGAATGAGGAAGCTGCAGCAGCACAAGGATCCTGTGGAAGTGACTGCATTGAGGACATCAATTGTAACATCCAGTACTTTTGCCCTATCAGAATCTGTATTTTGGCAACCTCCGAGTTTTGTCATTTGAACTTGTGTTCCCATTCAACGAAGGTGCTAGGTCTAGACGTTGTCAAAGTACAATTTCTGATGGTACCAAATTGCCGAACTGGTAGGGCTGTTATTGTTAATGTTCTCACTTCAGTCACATTCCCAGAATCATAGTGCCATCTCAGTTCCTTCAATCACAGTGAGAGGGGGAGTGGCATACAGAAGATTCGAGAAGAAAGATGAACGAGGATGACTCTGAGGGCATTAGCGGCTGCAACGTCAGTGAGCGGCAAAGGTTGTAAGTTGAGGGTCAGCAGCAAAAAGGTACAATGGGGAGCAGCCTAGGCTGTTCCAAAATGGCACTGATCTGTGGTCTTTCTCTGTAAAGTCATAATAGTGCAGTACAACTTAAAACCAAATTTCATGGCCTATTAACTGTTGTAACAAAGCAACAAATGGGCAGTGTTAAACTGGGACTTAGCGCAGTTACAAAGCTTTCAAATTAATTCTGTAATGCCCATGGGTCAATTTAACAGCCATAATGTGAATTTTGGCTTAATCAAAGTTTTGTTGTTTATCAATGGAATTGTTTAGGTCAGCAGAAGATTGGTTTGGTGTATTTTAAATAATATTTCCAATCAGTTGGCAGAACAGGTTAAGCAAACAAATTCTGAATAATTTGTAGTTTGTTTCACAAGTTACTTTTGTAAGTCCTGTCTTTACAGTTTTCTTGGACTTTCTTTACTGCTACTAACTCTAAAATCTCCAACATTAGTTTGGTTTCATTTGTTATAAAACAAAATACACGTACCTAACAAAAATAAAATCTAGATGTCTCCCTTTTTACTGTTATATAAATTTTTAATTTTTTTTTTCCTGTTAGATGCTGTTCCTCTTTTTTTAAGACTGCTGCACTCTCCACATCAGAATGTGTGTGAACAAGCGGTTTGGGCTTTAGGCAACATCATAGGTATGTTTGTCATTTTGTCATTGTTTATTCTGAAACCTAAAAGATTTGTTTTTTTTTATTTGCAGTTCTCAGAATAGCTTTCTGGCTTGCTGCTAGGGTAATAAACTCATGTGGATGAGCTTTAAGTGATGTGAAGGTGCTGGTGTTGGACTGGGGTGGACATGGTCAGAAATCACACGATACCAGGTTATACCTTTTGGACTATAACCTGGTGCTGTGTGATTTTTGAGCTTTAATTGAAAATTGGGCAGTTTCTATAATTGGAGGTGGAGGGATTGCAATACCACCTTTACAGCTGGTGTTAGATTAATCTAACCCAGAGATTGGGGATTAGATGTGATGTGGGGATGCAGTAGAAAAGTTGAAATGTTTGAGATTGAAATTTGAACTTAGGTTAGCATTCTCATGTATTGGTAATATCAGTTTTACCTTTCTCCTTGGCTGCTCAACTGTCTACCTATTGTCAATTTAAATCGGACTCATTTGCAACTCATTATTGGACAGTCTAAAGCCATCAACTTTTGACCTTTGTCACAAGCACCGTGCTCTTATTAGTAATTTGTCCCTTCTGTCTGTTCTCTCAAACTGAGCAAAATTGTTTACATTCCAAGGGTATTCAATGCCAAACTTTAAACCACTTTGTCTTATCCATTTCAAACTTTGCTTGTAAAACTTCTGTCCTTTCTCAGCAATTGATACATGAAATCCTTTTAATAGCTTTTGTCAGTTCTAAACTGGACTGTCCCTGTACCCACCTCATAGCCCTCCTATCCATTTTCTGCTCCCATGAACTATCCTTTGTCCAAAACTTCCATTTGTGTCGTCTGTCCTTTTTCTAATTTATCTATTATTTTATTCCCCGCCCCTAAATTGGATTACCGTGCCCCATTGTTAACTTTGTTTTTCATCCTTGTGTGCAAGGCCATTCATTCTTAACTTAACCAACTCTTCCAGTCCTAAAAACATTCCAAATCTTCTGTTGCTGTGATTTTAGTTTTCTGTTTATCTCCTACAGCATCGTTGTTTGTCCAGTTAGAACCTTTCATCTGCATTAGGAAACTCTGTTCAGACTGCTTGGGTCTCTATTTCTATCATGAAACCATCTTCTGCATCTTCTAATCATTCTCGCTTGATTTGGCAATAATTTCTGTGGGGTGTCCTGATATTTTTCTGGTGACTATTTTATAGGCATCCCAACTTTTAAGATGTTTATTCACCTTAATGCATCTAAAGTGGTCTTAACAACAAATGGAATTTTAGTAACCAAAACAGAAATTATCGGAAAAGCTCAGCAAGTCTGGCGGCACCTGTGAAGAAAAAGTCGGTTAACTTTTTGGGCCTGGTGACCCTCCTTTCTGAGGAAGGGTGTCCGGACCCAAAACATTAACTCTGATTTTTTTCTCCACAGATGCTGCCAAACCTACTGACCTTTTCCGGCAACTTCTGTTTTTGTTCCTGATTTACAGCATCCGCAGTTCTTTCGGGTTTTGTGTGGAATTTTAGTGTTGGATTTACTCTCCTATTTTCATTATAATTTTGATGTCAAAGATATTATTGTGCAGCATGTGTCCAGATCACACTTGGTGTAAATTATGGGTCTGACCAAAAGAATGACTGCAGTTTGTTTTAACTTGGTACAGAAGAGTTCTCAATATGATACAGGCCTACTGAAACTAAGGGCCTACTTTTTCAGAAATGCTTGCAAAGCAGGAAACTACTTACTTTGTTTTTTGATTATTGTTTTTAATTTTCTGTTATCAACTTTACAGTTTGGCAAATATTGGATGTAAATGTTTTATTGGATAAAAGAAATAGGTGAAACCGAATACCTGGTATAACTACTGTATATCTATTAAATTAAATATTTCTCCATAACACTTTACTTTGAGACATGTAAATGAAGTGACAGCAAGCTCTTTATTAACCAACACCTACACGATCAGGAGTGTGCTGGTTGATCAAATATTCCAGTTGATCAAGAGATCTGCAAATTAATACAAAAACACATGTAGAAATGTCATGCAGGGATATACAATCACTTTTACTTTGTATACAGCATAAATCATTGAAATAATAATGCAACTTTACCTTAAATAAAACTAGCACACAGCCTTTTCAATCATGTTCTCAACTGACTACTTGGACATCACGGAGATAGCAATAAACACTAAACTTCCAGTATTTGACATATATAACTTTTACCGGCTTATCGAGAGTGCCAGTTCAAAATGTGCCAGTTAAAACCAAGTTTGCTGTACATTATTAGCTAATATTTTATGCCAGTTGACAAGTTGTTGTGGTAGATTCTACTTTGTTTTGCAGTGGGAAATTAGCCTAAATATGACTCGCATGCCACATTGTCATTCGGGTGTCCTCGTCAGGTTGTATTCATGTATGTAATCTCGAGCACGTTATCTGAGCTGATATTTCAGTGCAGTGCTTAGTGCTGCATAATTAGATATGCCGTTCTCAGCCGAAACGTTAAACTAAGACCCAGTTAAGGTGTGAAGGATCACTGCCATGTTTTGAGGAAAAGCAGGCAGTCATCCACTTGACTTGGCCAACTTTCATCCTTCAAAGAGAATGATTATTTCATCACTGTTAGAGTTTGCTATATGCAGCTGACTCTTGTTTGTTAACAAAAGTAACTGCATCTTTCAGATGTTCTGCAGGTGTGAAATGTATGGTCTGCCTTTTAGGTCTTCAGTGGAATAGGTTGTCACTTGCATGTGAATTGACATTTTGTACATTGTGCTTTGTGTAATGAAACTGAATTTTTTTTCTCGATTGCTTAAAAATAGGGGATGGCCCTCAGTGCAGAGATTATGTAATTAGTCTGGGAGTTGTGAAGCCCCTACTTGCTTTCATTAGTCCATCTATACCTATTACCTTTCTTCGAAATGTCACGTGGGTGATGGTTAATCTTTGCCGCCATAAAGACCCTCCCCCGCCAATGGAAACAATTCAGGAGGTAAGTAATTTGAAGTTTGTCAGTTTGTTTTGCAATTCTAAAAATAACTTCAAGCTGAATTGTTTCAGCTTAAATTGACACTAACCATACTCTAAACAAAAATCTTTCCTAGATTCTTCCAGCCTTATGCGTGCTCATCCACCACACAGATGTTAATGTAAGTATTATGAAGTCAGCAAGTGTGCAGCGTCAAAGATAACAGTGTGGAGCTGGAGGAACACAGCAGGCCAGGCAGCATCAGAGGAGCAGGAAAGCTTACGTTTCAGGTCGGGACCCTTCTTCAGAAATGTGTTCCTCCACCTCCACACTGTGTTATCTCTGACTCCAGCATCTGCAGTTCTTGCTGTCTCTAAGTGTTTAGAGTCTTTCTTTTTAAAAATGGGAATGGTTTGCTATATTTTGGAAGACTGAAAGTGCATTTCTTTAGATTTCTTTTAGTTCCCTGTGGAAGCAACTAGCTCCCACTCTTCTGATCAAACTTCCTTTTGTATCCCAACCCACGTCCAATTTTTTTGGCCAACTGCAGTTGTCTTGACGTCGCATTGGTACTTTCTCCTTAAATCCTTCCACCATCTGACTTGTCTCTTCGTCTTTACAGCCCCTGATAGCAATATGCTTTTGTGTACTTTCAGCCACCTCTCTTCATGTTGAATTAATTGGTATCAGTTTATCTTCCTTTGAAACAGTTTTCCCATCAGTAAATGCATGATAAAATTGTTCTGCAAGTCAAAATTTTAGCGATTTGTGCAATGTTTAAATAGTGCACTTATTACCATTGGGTAACTCATTTGATAGATCATGTAGTTTTAGCTTTGATTTTAAGAAGTTGTTGCATCTTGAACAATTATCTGCGATTTGTCAGTTTGTATATTGTACATACGAAATATTTAGAAGAAATCTTTTTGACTAAGCAGATCATCTATTCTTTGCCAATTTATGTTCAACCTGTGTGCTACGCTGTAGCATTTCTTACAGTGAATTAGATACGAGTAAAGATTGTGAAGAAAATGGAATTCAGAGAAAGCTAATCCAGGTTCACCATTGGTAGTAGCCAAAACTTGGTTTAATCTTTTTATTGTAAAGAAGTTTAAGAAACAATCTGGATGAAAAGGAAGTGATTGCAAGTAATATGGTGGATTTTGGATAGTAAAATGATGCTTAACGACTTGAAAGACCTCCAAGTTTGTTAACAAATGTAGGAGATGGATGAAATTCAGTGAATGTTGTTCGTGTAGACTTCAGGAAATCTTTCCAAAGTACCACACTTGAGATTATTGGAGAAAATTCGTGGGTTTAAAATTAAGGGAGTAGCAGCAAGTGGCATTGCAAACACATTAGCAAGGAGAAAATGGTTGGAAATCGGGACTGGTGTCTTTTTGGACTCTGATTTGGAATCTTTCCTAATCAGTATACATCAATGCTTTTGATATAGGGCAAGGGAATTGGTGCCATAATTTGTTGACTAATTAATAACTGTTAGGACCAAAAGAAGCTGTAAGTGAGTATTGATGAGCTGTGTTGTTGGACAGAAAAGTGACAATTTGGGTGAATGGGTGTTCTATTTGGCGGACAAGATAAAGCAAATGTTTGGGACAAGGATTAATGATGTAGAAGATTTTTTAAGAAACTAAATAAAGAACTGCAGACGCTGGAAATTAAAACAAAAACAGAAATTGTTGGAGAAACTCAGCAGAGTTAATGTTTTGGGTACAGTGACTCTTCAAGCCCTTCTGAAGAGGGTTCACTGGACCTGAAACATTAACTCGCTTTCTTTTCACAGATGCTGCTGGTCCTGTTGAGTTTCTCCAGCAATTTGTTTATGTTTGTAATTCTGAGGTCTAATATATCTACAACATTGAAAGCATTACCTTAAGGACTCAACCAACACCTCAACTCCTTAAAGTTAAAAGACTGTTGAATTGCAGCATGTGGTGCAGAACTTAAAAATCTGATGGTGTGACTTATATAAATGCTGTGTGCAAGTTGTGATGCTTACCCTTTAAGGTGGGTGCTGAACCATTAGAAGACAATGTGCATTAATTTAGCTGTAGCCTGGTATGATAAAGGACTTAAGAAATTACTTCCCCCCCCCCCCCCCCACCCATTGGAAGAGAGAGGATTAAGGAATAATTTTACTAAAATGTTTGAAATATTGAAGGAATTAGACCATGAATTCAACCAACTAGAAAGGCAAGCTACATCTCTGAAATTAATTGTAAGATACTTCAGTGAGAAAGCCAGAAACAATTTTAGAGGTTTTTGAGGATTGTCTATAAAATTTAATTGCTGTACAGACCATGATACATTAAATAAGTGAGGTGGATGATGTGAAGTGATTCAGGTTTTTAGGGCCATGGTGAATGAATGAAATTAGAACTGTTGCTCTGTTGATCATTTAAGCTTTGTCATTGAGTTAAATGGCCTACCTTGTAATTTCTATGAACATTAATAAAAGTATTTTCATTACTGACTCAAATTTTCCAGTTCAAATCAGAAGAGTGTAATTTTTGTCTTGTGCTCCAAAAATGTTGGAGTGTGCTTTTGGATTATTAATATTCAACTAAACTGTCTCTTATGATATTGCATGTTCTCTGCCTTTGTATAACCTTTTCCTTTCCTCTCTCACTGCCCTGACCCAGAAATGTTTTGCTGCTCGAACTGGCTCTTATGCAAGATTATGTTCCATTGCCCCACTATTGTCAGCATTGCATTTAGCTATGTATATCTCAATCTCTGGAATTTCGGCACTTAAATGCTTCAGTTCCATCTCATGTATTTAATACCACTGCCACCCTGGCTGCTAAAATCCACCTCTAATTAATTCTCTGGTCAGTTTTATTTATCTACACCTTTGCTTTAGTTTTAAATATTAGTAGCCTTAATGAAGAATCTTCTGGATGTTTTTGTACATCAAAGGCAATATATAATTGCATGCTTTTATAACTCAATATATTGTCTCATGCTTCCCCTTGTAGCCTGTGTGTTCATATTTCTGTTACACCCTGTGTCTCTTCATCATCACTCTTCCATTTCTTTAGAGATGGTGTTGGTTTGTAAGGAACAGAAGATAGTGTAGTTGCAATAGAAAATTTTGAAAACTTGCTATGCAGTTGCTTGATTCTCATCCCAATTGCTCATACTTGTTTTTCCCTGTCCATTATTACCATCACAACCTGTATTTGTTTGGCTCGGTATCCATTTCCCTTCCTATCATTTTGTTTCCATCAGGGGAGTTGATGGCCTAGCATATTGTTGCTGGATTATTAATCCAGAGGGTCCAGGTAATGCCCTGGTGGCCTGTGTTTGAATCCTGCAGATGGTGGAATTTGAATTCCATAAAAATCTGCAATTAATAGTCTAATGGCGACCATAAATCTATTGTCAATTTTTAGAAAAACACATCTGGTTCACTAATGTCCTCCAGGGAAGGAAACTGCCAACTTTTACCTGGTCTGGCCTACGTGTCCATCCAATTAGGGATGGACAATAAATGGGCAATAGATGCCCTCGACCCGTGTAGGAATTTTTAATAAATCTCTTTCCTCTAGACACAAAACACTTGAATTGTCCTTTTTTTTGTTTCTGCCAATAATTGCAGCAAACTCAGCCTTGGTTTAGTTTATCGCCAAGTCTGCCATCCTTCTGCCCAACACTTATGATTAAGAGATGGGGGGAACTGCCAATGCTGGAGAATCTGAGAGAACAAGGTGTACAGCTGGATGAACGCAGCAGGCCGAGCAGGAAAGCTGACGTTTCGGGTCTGGACCCGTCTTCAGAAATGGATCTGAAGAAGGGTCCAGACCCGAAATGTCAGCTTTCCCATTTCTCTGATTGCTGCCTGGCCTACTTTATCAGAAGTTCATCCAGCTTCTACACCTTGTTATCACTGTTATGATTAAGATCTCTTTCCTTTTGGGGCTGTTTTCTACATACATAGTCAAGAATAAGAAATGCTTTTTGAAAGGAAATCTAAGTAGAATAAGGGAAGAAAAAATGCCTCCTTTTTTTGACCCTGTTTTTCCCACACCCTTCCCACCTTATGTGCTTGGCTTTACTCCCTGCCACTGTCTTCACTCTTATTGTTCTTGACAAGTATTAATCTTTTCTAACTCAATTTTTTAGAAAAAGGTAATTTGTTGATTTCAATATTTACTTGTCTAAAATCTGATGCAAGTTCAATTTCTCCATAAACTGATACACATTTATAGTTTGAGGATGAAATTGAAACTGAAATGTGACTAAACCATAACTGAGAACGTGACTGATGTAAGCAGAATGCTTGTAAACAAACAAAAGTTTAGTACTTGATTAGATGGATGGGTTTTTATATGTTTCTTTATTTTGTAAATTGGTGATACATTCACCGAGTGTGCAGTGAATAAAACATTTCTTGTGCCTGAGGAGTAATTTACTAGCATCCTGTCACACTGTTGATTTTCCACTTCCTGCTGAATTAAATTTAAAACTGAAGGTTTCTTGATGGTGGTTTTCATAGTGCTTATGCTAAATGTTTGTTGTTGTGAACTTCAGATTTTAGTAGACACTGTTTGGGCCCTGTCCTACCTAACAGATGCTGGAAATGAGCAGATTCAGATGGTTATAGATTCAGGGATAGTTCCTCATTTGGTGCCCCTACTCAGCCATCAGGAAGTTAAAGTTCAGGTAAGGATATAATTATCTGAGCTGTGAATTTTTCTCTCTCAGCATTTGTTTTTAAATGAAATCTTATATGTTTGTAATGTTATTTATCAGAAGTTTAAAGATGAGCACAGTATACACAAACGTGGAATAATTGGTCTATTTTAATTTTGAATCATTGTTTCTGTTGTGTTTCGGAGAGGATGTGTCTGGTCATTATACGGAATCCCAGAGTTGAGTCTTGTGGTCTCGTGACCTGGAGTTTGCAGAAGATTTAGTTGCTACCTGGTCTCCCCCTTCTTCCGCCCTCTCCCCTTTGTTATTTCCCTCCTCACCACCACCCCATCTCTGTCGTTGCCCCCCCCACCACCACACCTTTATTGCCCCTGTGCCCTGGCCTGCATCTGTTGCCCTCTGCGCTGCCACACACCTCTTTTCACTCCC